TGGAGACCCGTCCACCAAGACGTATCCATAGCGATGTATCTACCCAATGCATTTCTCCCAACGCACTTTAAAGAAAGAGACTGACTCGCAGAGTGACGGACAAGGGAAAATACCAGAGTGGATCGAAAAATGTGGCCGCTCGACTAGTGAAACCCTGGTCGTGGTGCCATCTATCCGCGTGTCCATCACGGGAAATCGCGTCACTCCAATTACTTTTGGAGGGGATCCACTCAAAGTAAATCCAGCATCGAAGTGAAAACAAAAGAATATGAATCATGTGACTCATATGTTCGAGGTCAGGACTGTCTGATCTGCCTTTGATGAGCGCCATTTAAGCAGCAGTGTTGTCAATGTACCATGTGCCGCGGCGATTACGGAATCGCTCAGGTGTGGTAGTCAAGCTCTAGCTGTGCTATCTTGGCATCCCCTGGCGTCCATAGGTCATAGATGGATGAGGGGAGGTAAGACACAAACCCAAGCCGGAGCTCTACGTCCTCGTGGAAGAAGACAAGGAGAAAACCACCCGTGCCTTCACCTGGGGTCTCCAAGGCAGCGTCGGACGCTGCAACAAAGCGTTCATGGTGTCGTGGCCAGACATCAAGTTCACGCTCTGGATGGATAGAGATCACGGCTTCAAGAATTTGGAAGCATTGTTCAATTGCGGGAGTCAGCTGATCACCTCGGACAAGTTGGCGCTCTTTAATGGCGTGGAGGCCTCCACATCCAATCCGTCCGTAGACGCCCTGTTCGAAGAAGTTGGCTAGTCCGTACAGCTTGGCTGCGACACCAGGCTTGAGAGTGTGCGTCTCGCGGCATTCATGGATAATGGCCTTCAACTTGGATTCCAGCCGTTCCCTCGCCCAAAAAGAGACGTAGCCTCCTGAAAGGGCGGCAGAAAGATCATGGTCCAGGCCTAAAAATAAGCCTTTGGGGTTCATAGCCTGGCGCTTCTCCTCCGCAAAGGGGGTGCCCAGAAGTTGGTTTAAGACACCAAAGGCCCATTGAGCCGACCCCCGGCTCGAAGACCAGTCTTGAATGGAAGCATCGTCAAAGTAGAGCGAGACCAAGACGTAGCACAAACGCCGCCCGAGGGCTTCCACAAGCCGGCTGTATCGGTTAAACGAGGTCACGGCAAGAGGAAGACCAAAAAGCAGACCAGCATAGACTTGGAAGGCTGGAGCAGCCCATTCATGGTGCCAGAAAGTGACTACGCATCCTCGCGTTTCGTTGACCCCCATAGGACTGTGCCGATAGGCATCCGGCCAATCTTCCCCGCCTGACTCCCAGGTGTCAGTAGCCGCTGCTTGGGCTAGCTCGGGTGGGCTCATGTGGCGTAGGACTTGGCTGATGTGTTGGGCCGGTCTGAGGGGCGAGCAGAGCACCAGCTTGTTGGCATCGGATGACCGCAGGGTCCGTCCTCCAGCATCGGCATTGTCGATAATACGCTGCTTACCCGAGGATTGGGTAATCACACAGCGTGGTATCAAACGATACGGCTGCCCACGCAGCTGCTGATGCAACTAGGGGGGGTACAGAAGCCCCGTGCTGCATCCTTTGTAGACTGTTCCAGCAGGAACTGATCATCTTTGCCCGGCTTGAGGGTGGACAAGATCTGGTGATTGTGCGCATCGCATCCCGACAATACCTCTGTGAGAGTAATACGATCGGCAGGTTGAGATGGAAAGACCCCGTAGCACGGCGCGTAGCCCACCGCTGGGAGGCCTTCAATAAGCCCGAATGGGTATGTAACATCAGGCCATGAAGTCAACAAGATCAACAGTGCAACGAAGCCGAGGTCTCGAGTGGCCGTGGTAGCCTGCAAGGCGATAGGTTGAAATTGCCGCAGACGTCGCCCTACGGCACACCAACGCCGATGGAGCTCCCGCAGTGCCCCCACTGCTGTACGGCGAAGATCTCGTAGACGGCCTCGGTAGCGAGTATGGCAGTCAGCGGCAAATACTAGGTCCAGGTCCAGCACTGCTGTTGGTGGGTAGCAAATCGCGGCCTCGCTCCAACGCTTGGGCGAAGCGCTCGTCCGGGCTGAGGTCATAGGATAGCAGCGGCGGAAGTGCTGCGCGCTGGTTCAGTGCACCCACCTGCTGACCTTCGGCAGTACGGAGAGTCTGGCGGACTTGAGCGTCGGCCAAATGTGGACCCAAGGGCCCATCGGTCTCATAGTGCCTGTTGTGCAGCCACACAGGAAATGCATTGAACGGGGCAGCATTGACAATATCCTCGACCATAGGAAACTGGAAATTCGTGAAGAACCTAGACATGCGTTTGTACAGGATGATCTTGTACATGGCACGTATGGATGATATGTACATGATCTTGCCAGACAGCCAAATGTACGAGAAATGCCGTGAAATCTTGAATGTGGCAACCTTCCAATGATTTGCAAAGGAAATCAAAGGAAAACAATATTGAATGTGGCAACCTTCCAATGATGCCACTTGCTTTGCAAAGGAAATCAAAGGAAAACATAATATTTTGCATGGATTGTTGGACAATCCATGCAATTAGAGAACCCTCGCTATGCTATATATATATATATATATATGTTGAATGTTTTTGTTATATATGTTTTTGGGTGGATATAGCTGCACACATTACATGTATAAATTGAAGGTCCCTGCACTTGCTGTCCGCTCGCCGATCTTTTCGCAGCTAGGCTTTCTATATATCATATATATATAAATATGGGTTTATAGTGTTTGTCAAATATACACAGGCAACCGCACATGCAATGGTCATTGCCTGTAAATGCAGTGAAGCTACCAATGTACCATGGTTCCCTCATATTCTTATGAACCGGCTCGCGGGGCCGCGGCCGCGGGGGCGTCCTTGCTCCTTTTTGCCCGAGGCGCAACTGCGGATATCTGCTGTTGGGTACTGCAGGGGATGGGTCATTGAGAATGGTGAGGGTTGATTCCATTTCAAAGGTGGTGTGTGCGACGTGCATGCTGCTATATATATTGTGGACTATATTGTGGCTCAAGCACTAATGTCTAGATGTCTGGCAGCTGTGATGGAGGGCTCACCTTATTCGAACATTCCTTTGGCGCTGCAGCGGAGGATCACCAAACATGTTGCTTTGATGACTGTGGATTTGTTTTTTGGTGGTCCCAAAATGTACCAAATGCCTAGCAAAATCATCACCTGTTTGTTTACCATTTATGTCATGTCATGCCCTCCATCACAGGCTTCTGAAGAGCTTCGCAGCACTCACGATCCTGAGGAGGAATATTTGACATCGGAGGTGGAGACCGAATGCATGGCACCTCGCAGTGGGATCTGGAAAAAACTGATTCATTTTTTGATGAAAATGGTTTACTTTATTTTTTTGAATGTTCATCCACAAAGGTACCATTGGCAAAACGGCAACGTGTGGAGGTGGACGCCGAACAAGAGGAAGAAGAATTACCAATGGAAAGGGAAACTTGTAGTGGTTTGACCTTTTTTTAAATGCTTTATCTATATATATACAGGGCATTGAAGCCTGGATCATGGTCTAGTATAGATTTCCATTTTGGCAACTTAGGATGATGTTATCGAGTTTGCGGCAGATCTGCGGCGCAATTACTATGGCCAGTACAAAGATGATTTGCCCTCTCTTCAAGAGAAATCTATGGAGTTGCCTTTGACGGTGCTGGGACATGGTTTGCAAGCTACCCCCAAGCATGCGCCGCCAGTCACTTGGAGTGAGTTTTGCAAGTTCTTTTTTGGTAGAGCTTCCTGCGCTCAGAGTCTGATTCATGGTTCACAGGGTGCATTCAATTAACATGTGGGTTGGGTTCCTCAGTGCAAGCTACCACCACCTTCCCATGCTTCACGACTACCAGCTGCCCACGAACGACGGGCGCAGACCTCGTCGAGACCTTCAAATTGTAATGAATGTGGGCAGCCAGTTCCTGCGCAGCAGGCGATTGGGTTTGAACAATATATATTGGAGAAGGGTATTTGGCCCTTAATAGAAACATGGGTTTGTGCGTGCAGGTATTCCGGCAGTTCAAAGGCAACCGAGCTCTGCTATTGGCCAGTGCCAGATCTTTGGAGCTTCAGTTTTACATTATACAAAAAGCTTTTGTGTCTATTCTTTGGGGTGAGGTTTTGGAACCAAGGGTAGGAAAAAGTTGTTCCTTGTACCAGTCTTTCCAGGACCGCCATGTGAAGAATGCCCATGCAGCGCTGTCGACTGTCAGCCGGTGCAACGCAGCAGTCCAAGACTTGATGAGAGTCATGGATGTCAATATTCAAGATGAACTTACTTCAATGCTGGCATACGCTGGCATGCTGCTTCTTCCAGGGACAAAAAGTCATTGCGCACCATTGGGATTGGTAGTGCATATATGCATGGGTTGAGACAAGGTAAACTCTGTATTTGTTGGATGGATCACCAAGGCATTAAAGTTCTATATAACCAGTGCATCTAAGATTGTGTGGTGGAAAAGACCTTATACTTCCACTACCTCCTACGCCAGGCTCCCCATGGCAAAGCTGTGGCAAGTGCAGGAGCTTGCAAGTACGCCCTGCCCGGGGGGGTTGGGCGAGGGCAGATTGTTGTAGAAGGGATTGAAGGGATTGATGGAGAACAGGTGTGCAGGAAAGGGTGAACAAGTTGCTGTCTACCACATGTATGGTGGAGAGGCAATCTGGGCCCGAACCAACATATCATGTTGATAGATTTGGTGGAAAAGGTTTACTGATCAAATCTTTGTTCAACAGCCATGTCATTATATATACCATGCGCTGAATTAATCCTTTGGTTCACACACGCTGCCCACTTCGCACCATGGCGCCTCCTCTTTCTCAAGAGCTCGTTGGTCAATTTGTGGCTGCCTTTGCAGAAGAGCCAGAGTTAAAAACGGCGTCTTGCTCAATATTAGTTCTGTGTGTAGCTGTGAATGCCCAAAGGC